TATAACTGCGGTCGCGGGTGGTGCGGGAGGTGTTCGGATGCCTCCCTCTCTATTCTGCCACCCTAGGCGGCCGCCTAGGTCGCCTCTATGGACGCGCCGGCCCTGCTTGTAGAGCTGCGCATCGATGGATTACTCTTCAGTGTTTGGGCTCTCAGCAGTGAATATTAAACCACACTGAACTGAACTTCAACTCTGAAAACTGAACTGACACGGTTTCAAATCACTATAATTTGAATAAAAAAGTACATTATTTGATATTTTTATCATTTATTTGACTTTTCTTCACCAATATATTCAACTATTGCCAATATTACATATCCAGTACACTTCAGTCATGTGCACCGATTTGACGTGTACACTACATTACACATTAATGGATGTATACAGTGAGTGTCAGGAGTGTGTATTGAGCTACATGTCACGGTTCATTACCTGCCGTCACGATCCCAGTCATACACTTCAACCTTGATCGTTCTGTAAGAGAAAAGAGAGAAAAACAGAGACTTGGTGTGATTTCACAGATTTTTCTCTGTAATCCCACACATCAGCAGCAAATGTCCGATCCCATACGCAAATAGACAGCATCATTTTTCTGTGTATATTAATAAAATCATCATTATAATATAAAGGTAAAAGGTAAGATATTTAAAATAGTAGTTGTTAATGCAGTAGACTTTAGTTTAATACACTAAGAAGCTTATCCTTTCTATCATTTTTCATATCAAACTACTGTATATACTTTATAGTCTTAAATAAAATTTGATAGCATTATTTCATTTTATTTTATTGTTATTATTATTATTATTATTAGTAGTAGTAGTAGTAGTAGTAGTAGTAGTAGTTGTTGTTGTTGTATTTTAATTTAATTTTAATTATTTTATTTATTTTGCTTTATTTTATTTATTTTTTATTAATTTAAATATTTCTTTATTTTTTCTTTCAATTATTTTATTTAAATTACTTTTATTTTATTTTGTTTAATTTATTACTTTTTTATTTATATTAATTATTTTATTTAAATTATTTTTAATTTAATTAAAATTTATTTTAACTATTTTATTTAAATTTCTTTTAAATGTTGTTAAATTTGTTTTTTATTTATTTAAATTACTTTATTTGTTTTTTTCATTTTTTGTTTCATTTAGATTAATTTAACTTATTTTTTATTACTTTAATAATTTTATTTTAATAATTTTAATGTAATTTATTTTAATTTAATTTAATTTGATTTAATTTATTTTAATTTTATTTTGATTATTTTAATTTTATTTAATTTTATTTACTGTTTATTTATTTTATTTTATTTTTATATATTTTTATTTTTGTTTGGTTTATTTATTTTTAATTATTTAAATTATTTTATTTAAAATATATATTTTATTTTATTTTAATGCCATTCTGAATAAAGCTTATTCTACCTGCTTCATTGGTAATACTTTATATTCTGATCATGCCTAAACAGTAACAGTGCACCACACACTTTGCAGCATCATTAATGTGCTATTGCATTATGTCTCATTGTATTATATATCATTTGTTTAAATTAATTCCATAGCCTAACCATTAACCCTGTTAAACCGTGCATTAGAAAACCATTCCTAATTAAGTGATGTACTTTCTAATACAAGACACTTCATTAGACTAAAGCTGTGTTCAACTCGGAGATATTCTTTGTTTCCATGGTAATGCTCACGTCACCCAAAAAAGTCCAAGTGGCTTCATTTATGACAGAAACATACTTTGCAGCACTAATTGACCTCTTTATTGTTGGAGAAGAGCAAGGAAAGAACATCGGGTACCACACAGGAACTGTCTGAAAACGCTGAAACGTTTAGAAAATGATGACGGTTTTTGCGTCGTGGTTTGTTAAAAGAATTAAAAGATCATGAGCTGAGAACATTTCTTAATCTTGAGATATACATTTACTCATAAAACAATGAAGTTCATCATAGAATCATATCATAGAAGAATACAAAGATAGCAGCATTAGTGGAGAGCTCTTTTTGGCTTAGTCCCTTCATTAATTCGGGGTCGCCACAGTGGTATGAACCGGCAATTTATTTAGCACGTTTTTACGCAGCTGATGCTCTTCCAGCTGCAACCCATCTCAGGGAAACATCCACACACACTCATTCACACTCGCATACACTACGGACAATTTCATTTTAGGAGTGACAGTGTGGCGCAGTAGGTGGTGCTGTCGCCTCACAGCAAGAAGGTCACTGGTTCGAGCCTAAGCTTCCCAATTCCCCTATAGTGCATGTGTTTGGACTGTTGGGGAAACGAAAGCACCCGGAGGAAACCCACGCCAACACCGGGAGAACATGCCAACTCCACACAGAAACACTAACTGACATAGCCGAGGCTCGAACCAGCGACCTTCTTGCTAAAAGGCGACAGCACTACCTACTGCGCCACTTCGGTAGGTAGAATTTTTTTATTTTAATAAATTTTTTAATTTTAATTATTTTACTTTAATTGTTTTTTATTAAACTAAATTTCATTTACTTTTTATTTATTTCAATTATTATTATTATTATTATTATTATTATTATTATTTTTTTTATTTACCTAAATTACGCTTATTTTTGATTTAATTCAATTATTATTATTATTGTTTTTATTTAATTAAATTAAATGTATTTTTTATTTATTATTTATTTAATTTATTGTTTCATTTATTTTCAAAAATAATTATTTTTATTTAATTTATTTTAATTATTTTATTTTTAAAAACTTTAATTTTATTAGATTTATTTTAAATTTAATTTATTTTAGTTCTTTTATTTTAATTCTTTTTATTAAATTAAATATATTTTAATGTATTTTTATTATTTAATTTAATTTTTTATTTTATTTTATTTATTTTTGTTTAACTTTTTATTTTAATTATGTATTTTACCTATTTTTATTTTGTTAAATTGAATTTAATTTAACTTATTTTATATTTTATTTTAATTATTTTAATTATATTTAAATTTATTAGCTTTTTATTTGTTTTAATTATTAGATTTAATTTTTTTTAATTTTATTTAATCTTTTTATTTATTTTTTATTTTATTTTTGTTTAACTTTTTATTTTAATTATGTATTTTACCTATTTTTATTTTGTTAAATTGAATTTAATTTAACTTATTTTATATTTTATTTTAATTATTTTAATTATATTTAAATTTATTAGCTTTTTATTTGTTTTAATTATTAGATTTAATTTTTTTTAATTTTATTTAATCTTTTTATTTTATTGTAATTTTAAGAGTCCTGGTGGTTCCAAACCTCGTCCACATACTAAGGTCAGAGGGTCGGATTAAAGTGCGTCTTGACAGAAAATAATTACAAGTGCTGGCCTGACAGGAGAGTGATGAGTTTGCGGAGTTCAAACAGAAGCCCTCTGTCAATTACGCAGAGCTTTAAACGCAACACATGCTAACAACAACCCAATCCCCGCGGCGTCCCTTAGCACCCGTTTTCCGTGTTATCATCAGCGAGACACCCTGCGCTTCTTTATTAGAGCGTGCGCGGTGGCTTATCTGCTGTCCCAGACTCCTGCGGACACCCAGCGCTCTTCCTCTTCATCTGTCGCTGCTTTCCCACATGTTCAATCAGAGATAAAACCGTGCTATTGTGTGGGGAAGTGCGCGGTGCTGCCGATCGATGCTCATCAGTGAGAGCCGCGGAAGCTTCACGCTTTATCGCCACATGGCAAGAGTGCTGGATTCTGGCATAGTTTGTATGCGCTTCGGATTCGATAATTCAATGGGTTTGTGTGACTAACTCATGTCTAAGACATTACAAACTTCTTGATTCTGAACATGACATTCACTCAGCATTCAGAGGCTCCTTCACAGGTTTATTTCCCCCAAAATTAATGACCTGCGAATATGTTTGTAAGCCGTTCACAGATAAGGGTGTGAATTTTATGTTAGTATTTTTTGTCTGAGAGATTAGGGTTAACCTACAGTGCCTGACAAAAGGCTTGTCGTGGATCTCAGTTGCGAGATCAACACTTAATAACACACTTCTATTCGATCATGAGGAAAAGTGGCAGATTTCTCTGCTGAATCATCTGTTGATGTGCATCCCAATCATCACCAATACTGCAGAAGACCTACTGGAGCCAACATGGACCAAGATTCTCGTAGAAATCAGTCAAGTTTGGTGAAGGAGACATCATGGTTTGGGGTTCATTCAGTATGGGGGCGTGCGAGAGATCTGCATCATCAACAGCCTGAGGTATCAAGACATTTGTGCTGCCCATTACATTACAAACTACAGGAGAGGGACAATTCTCCAACAGGATAGCGCTCCTGCTCATACTTCAGCCTCCACATCAAAGCTCCTGCAGGTCAAGATTCTCCAGGATTGGCCAGCCCAGTCACAAGACATAAACATTATTGAGCATGTCTGGGGTAAGATGATGAAGGAGGCGTTGAAGATGAACACATAGAGTCTTGATGAACTCTGGGAGTCCTGCAAGAACACTTTCTTTGCCATTCCAGATGACTTTATTAATACGTTTCGAAACGTTTCATCCAGCTTAATACTGTTTCTGTGTGCCAAGTAATTATAATATAAATACAGAATCAAACACATAATACTTTAACAAAATATCAACCCGAAAACAAGTAAAGCAACAATTTCTGACATCCGATCACAGTCCATACCTGTCATAATCTCCATTGCACAGGGCTCTGACGGGGATTTTGAAGGCTTGCCACACAGGATCCAGCGTGTTCTTCACCACCTCTGTCTTATGGCAAATGGTAAAGCTGTAACATAAAAGGAAACCGCTGACTAAATACAGCAATGTAGCTATTAATAAATTAAATACATTTTTGTGTTTGATGTCAAGTTAAAATGTTTGTATTAATTAAAAAAAAATACATATTAAATGTGGTATATTGTGTTAATACTAATAACATTTCATCCCAAAAAAAAAAAAAAAAAAAAAATATATATATATATATATATATATATATATATATATATATATATATATA